GTCCCTGGGTCTTTACCTTCTCTGACTGCGGGGTTGATATGGCATATCCCCTATTTGAAGTGGCGCCTCTGGCTTAACCTTGACGGCATTTGCGTGGTTTAGTTGATTCGAGTTGGAGCTAGTCGTCCTGGCAAACGCAATAGATGCGATTTCGGTGTTTATTTCGCTATTGTTGGATGAATTTACGTGAAAATTTTTGTTCGATTTGTACTTGAGCATTTACTGATTGCTCGTGTGACAGGTTGCTTAACTACATGGATCATGCAATGATTATTTGGTATACCGAGTAAGCTTCGCGTACATTTCGACGACTGTCATTCGATAAATTTCTTTGCAGCTTGGGGGAAACCTGTACTCGATCACAAATTTCCTTATCAGCTATTGTTCAGTACCTATTACTGTTGCAAGAACCAAAGAATGTGGTCGATATCGAATTCGTGCATCCTTCAGCACTTTTGTGTGGTGTTTTGGTAGCTGAAAGTCAATGGAATGGATAGATACAAGCGAAAATTAGTGTTCACAAATAGGCAGAAACTGCAATATGTTTTACCATCACTCACAACATCACTGTTTTCTGTCAAAATTCCTAAATGAGTTGAATGCACACTGCAACATTCTGGTAATTTAGTGGATTTGAATGCCATCTTCGCAATCAGGTATGCAAAGACATATGAGGTGTACGTCATTTTGTCCCATTATTGATTTTAGCTTTATAAACTTCCGATTTTTGTTGCTGTCCTGACGCCATATTATTTGCGTTTGTTCGAAGTTGATTTGCAAAATTATTTTGAAATCGCGTAGAAGTAGTGTCCGATATCCCTTAAAGCTATGGATGTAAGGTTTAGAAGCGGTTGCTGTGTCCATTTGGGGAGGACTCATCAATTTCTGCAAGTAAAGGCTATGCATCATATTCCTAAATGGCTCCAGAAGCATCACTTGTGACCACAGAATACGGTGATTTAGTGATTTTTTTAAGGCTACTTTCAAAAGTCACATTAACAATCACTATAACTTATGGTATATTAGAATAAGAGAGCAATAGAATCTGCCCAAAAGAACAAGAATAAGACCAATAAATCACCAGATAAGGAAAAGAAAATGTTTTCGGCTTTACCTAGTACTTCTTGGTTAATCGGCCTCACAGCAGTCACGTGGTAGACCAACAATTCTTGTTTATGCGAACGAGTGAGGAAGACGCTGCTACAGAAGTAGCACCTGAAGCTTTGGCAGTAGTTCGAGACAGCTGGACTTACCACACAGAGATATGTTATGTAAGTAATGGTTGAATTAAATTCACTGGCTAGGAACATTGGGTTTCCCGAGCAGGTGATTCACAAAAAAGGTATTTCCCGGTTGAAGAGAACAAAGCACATCTTATTCACGGGCGCGCTGAAGTCTTGTCTAATCGCTTTTGCTATGTCAGGCATGAATTAGCTTTAAAGTAGATACATTCATCAGTATTCCTACGGGTTCAACGTATTCCTGATTTATCGCTCTCAGCAGTTGGTTGCATTGTCCAGTTCGCCACAGTCAAGGGGAGTAATAAGCAATATCTTACTGTCATCTTCGCTTCTAAAGCTTTGCTGAGTTTCACACTGGGAGCCGAATCGTCCTTTGTTTCTGAATTATGTTTGTACATGTCTGCTGCACTGCACCCCATACTATCGAGTCATATTCGACAGTGTAAAAAGCATTCTCAGAGTCGATGAAGTTTAGATGCAGAGAGGGATGGTACTCTGTGTTCTGTTGTCAGCCCGGAGTTTCTTATAATTCACCTGTTTGGTAATTACTCTTTCTTCAATACACTTTCGTGGCTGTCTCTGATTTGATCTTTCCCGGATGGCTATGTGGTTTTTTGGTGCGGTTTTGTGAGGTCTCCCTTTGCAGCAATATGGTCTACCTCAGTAGCCAATAAGTCGTAAAAGCGTCTTCTGTCTTTCTCTCTTCTGTTCTAAGTCTAGTCATCTACATTTGCACTTAGTTTCTGGCTAACAACTCTTCCTCCGAATATCTGTAAAGAGCCATTCCCTACATTGTCTGCTATTCTTACCTTAGATGTTTGCACAAATTCACCTAAATTTCTCTTACGGTGTTGCAGTTCTCTTTCGTGGAGGTTTTGCCTGTGATACTGCTTGATGCCTCAAACATTTTCTTTATGTCTGCAACGATATGATTTGTAGCGCCATCCTGCACTTTCTAATTGTTAAGCTTGAATTTTGGCCTGTTCCTGGATGCTTTGATGGCTTTCCACTTGCTCCTGAAGCTTACTTGCGCTTGATTATGCTCTGAATCCACACCTTCTATTCTTCGTTTTGTGTCCAGCGAACAGAATCTTAGTTTTATTGAACCTGAGGTGAAGTTCATCCCATTTTTGGTGTGTTATTCTGGTAGAATGTCTGCCGATCTGTGCTTAGACTTGTGCCTGTACACGCTGAAGTTGCATGAACATATAAGTGATCATTCGTTCTTAATCACTTCAACAAGCAGCTGTCTGCAGGCTATCCTGTGTCTTACCACTCTATCCGACCCTAGTCCTCCTCCAAATCACCTATTACAATTTCAGTATCACAATATCGCATGCGTCTCCTCATTAAGAATATACAGTTATCTGCATAAGTCCAACTCTACCTCCTCCGGATTCAAGTATTATAAGTAGCACAGCTGATTATGGCTGTAACATGCCGTCCTTTTAATTGTTGCATTTTCCTTTAGTAATCCTGAATGGACTTAATTGAAGGTATGGGTGGCCAGAGTAGATTAACCAATTTTAATGAGTTCATTTTTCTGTCACTTAAAGTTTTAGCAGAGTTTGTGATATCAAAATACTACATAAGGTCTTCGTCTCCATCTGCTTTACAATAGGGTTCGAAATGGCTAGTAAGCTGGGCGAGGTTACAGTTGTTGTGAAAGTGGAGGAAATGTATCTGAATAATCTGAACAACGTACTGGCCAAATCAGTCGGTTGATGTGTAGTTATACGAAGCGACAGAATAATATAGTGTTCCGCAAAATGATATACAGACATTCGAGCAAATTATCAATCAGTTTCTGTGAAGCTGAAGTAAGAATAGTCCAAAATACAGTTTGAAAACCGCATAAGATTAAAGAATGAAATATTATTGTCAGCCAGCTCACATAAACTGTCAATGTCCAGCTCTTACTACGCTGGACCTCACGCTGTCCCTGGAAGACTTTCAGAAACACTTTGTATTAACCAACGCGAAAACCAGAACACTGATTGGTGGCTCAAGAATCCTTTATTCTTACGCCAACATGTAACCAACAATAGGGTTATTACACAAGGTCTAAGAATGAATGTCATAACAGTAAATCACGATGATACTTCTGATAGTTTTTTATCTTCTACTGAACAGCGAACGATGAGACGGTGACCGATGGATCGACGACTCCGCGAAAAATATGGGGGATTTGGGTTTGAGCAAACAACCATGAATTGATCGTTCAATCTTCAACTACATTGAAAGGCTTGTTCGTCCGCATATAGACATACAGACGGAAGAAGTCCATAAAATCGATTGCTAACAGTATATATATTTAGTGTGCTTAAAATACTTTCCACTATAATTTTGTTTGTAATTGTCGCTAAGCGACAAATCCTTTATTATGTCTATGAAGCATTATGTGACTACAACCTGAAAATTAAATTTTGTTTTAACGGTTAAACGTTGGCCCCCAAATGAAATTATTTCACTATAACTAAGGGAAAACCAACTGTCAAGAAATGACGTCACTATGTTTATACTCTGACGGAAGACTAAATTGAGCGTCAGACACACAACTGCTCATTAAGGTCATGTGCATTACTTACATTTTGAACTAAAATGGTAGTAATCTGTCATCTTACACAAGCACTGCAAACAAATATTTTCTGTTGTGGGGTCCCCTACATTATGTAAGGCAGCTCTAAATGCTGTTAATATAGACTACCCATAGAAGTTGTCCTACGACATTACCCTGTACAATCTCAGTTGTGATTTTCCTAGAAGAAATAAATACGGATTCAACTTAGGTTATTTAAACGCTATTGCTGATTAATATCATCAAACATCTGAGTAACAGATTACGAATTCGACATCTGAAAAGGCTCTCAAAGTGAATACTGTGATATACAATGTGAAATACCTAGGATTATTTCGATATATAAGGACCTACCTGAAAGCTGTAGACAAAACTCTGTGCATCAAGAAGTTATGCGTAGTGTTACTTATGAAGTGAGAATGAATACTGTCACAGTTTTTAAGTCAACAATGAATGTCATAAAAAGGGTTTTGGCATTCACCGATAGGAGTTTAAATTCCGACAGAACCTTGCAGCCTCAATTTTTCTGATTTGAAGATCAAGCACGAGTCGAAATAGAAAGGTGTAAGAATGATACAAGAAGCAAGACCATATCTGAGGACCTTGGGCTTTAGCAGAACAGACACCTCCAGAATCATAGACTGAACATTAAAGGGGAGGTAAATAGAGAAATGAAAATCACATAATCCGTGATTTAGCGAGACCACTAACCAATGTCATCGGTTGGAAATCCATTCTCATACTTGACTGGTTGGACCTGACTAGTCACCACTTTTCACTAGATGATTGCCAAACTAGGATGATATAGCTGTCCAGCACTCCCTAGCTTTCAATGGTTCTCTGACTGATATCAATCCGCGGTTAAACTTGTAGAAACAAATCTACTGCTTTCAAACCAACTCTTGAAAGTCAACACACCACAGTATGCAGTGGATTTAAGTTTAGTATTCATTACATTTCGGGGAGGCTAGATGTTTTATGAGCTGCTTTGCAGAAATATCGAACTCAGATCCTCCTGAAAATAGAAACCATTTATTTGTCATGAACTCATTATAGAGCCAACCATATTAAAGAACTTAAAAGAGCCAATGATCTAAATACAAGAAAAAATTTAATATTTTACTTCTATGTGTGTAAGGAGACCCTCAGCTACTCGTTGTAAAAATTTTTCACTTTTGTTTACTCGCATCAGTAACTCTATTCGCAGCTCTATTCCCAGTTTTGAGATGGATAGTTGCAACGCCCTTAAAAGACCTTACTTAGATGCGTAAGAATCCTTTACTAAGCGTAACTTTTTCAGAAAATATTCATGCTGGGGAATAACTCAGTGTCAGTATGACGGGAAAAAATGCCTGATTATTCGAGAAACCCCGACGGAGGAGCTGTTAAAAGACTTAGCTGTTATTCAAGATGCTGATATTTTAATAGTACAAAAGTCCAAAATAATGCAGCTGGAACGGCTGTTAATAAAATTTCAATGCATACAGATGTTGGTTATCAATGAAATGTCTCTTAATACATTGCCTCCTTGCATTTGTTCTTTTAACCATCTATCACTGCTAGATGTCTCTAACAATCTTTTATCCAGTTTGCCAGATGAAATTGTTCAGTTGACTTCACTAACTGTATTAGACCTTTCAAAAAATCGACTCAGAAACATAGATGCTGTATGTGGTTTGTCACATCTTCAAACTCTTGATGTAACTGAGAACAAGTTAGAAGAGCTCCCTCGGTCTCTATGGAAACTCGAAGGTCTACAGACTTTCTCCTGCTCGCTCAATCAACTTGTTTGTCTTCCGGAAGAGATAGGATGCCTGAAATACCTTATCATACTTCGGCTTAATAACAACAGGCTTTCATCTGTCTCCCGGTCATTTTCAAATTTGACTGGCCTGTTGCTTCTACAACTTGATGGGAACTGTTTCGACCATATTCCTTCTCAGCTTTTCAGTTGCACTTCATTGTTAGAGTTAAGCCTGGCTCATAACAAAATTGAAGGGAATCTTCCCTCTAGAATAAGCTCCCTAGTTGCTTTGCGTACTTTGAATTTAGCATGTAATAAAATATCAGACTTCCCAGTAGAACTGGAGCAACTACAATCTTTGGAGTACCTAAACGTCAGCGACAATCCAGTTAAAAATTTTTCACTCCCTTTAGGAAAGCTTAATCGAATTCAAGAATTCTCTGCTTCCGGATGTGGATTAGCGTTTGTCCCAGAGGATCTTGGTTTGTGCTCCAATCTTATTATCCTTGATTTGAGTGAAAACAAGATCGAAAGACTGGCTAATGAGAGCCTTAGTTTCCCACAGCTAACCTCTCTGTGTTTAGCATATAACATTATTTCCAGCCTGCCGGTTTCCATCTGTGACCTAAAGAATTTAGTCGTTTTGGAGCTACAATTTAATAGATTGAATTCACTTCCAGATGAGTTTGGGGAGTTTTCATGCACTCTTCGTCAGCTAGACCTGGGACACAATGTGTTTGAAGTGATTCCCATATCTGTGTTCCACATCAAAAGTCGTTTATCTTACCTATGTCTTGATTCCAATCCAATCTCGGAAGTTCCGGATGAGATAGGTAATTTGAAAGAACTAACTCATTTGTCTGTGTCCGACTGTAGTCGACTGGTGAGTTTACCAGAGGGTATAGGACTATGTTCAAATCTTCGTATGCTTAAAGTTTCTAAGAACAAGTTGTCATCGCTTCCAAAGTCTATGGCTAAGTTGCAGTCTCTAAAATATTTGGATCTCTCAAACAATGATTTTGAATATTTTCCCCTGGTTGTATGTTTTATACCAAGGCTTCGTGTGCTTCTTTATGATCAGAAAGAAGGAAGACCACTATTACCTGCTAAGATTCCCGACGGCTGGTATCATAAAAGCTTGGCTTTATATCCTGAGGCAAGTAACTACGAGCCAGAATATATTGGAAAGTCTTACAAAACTATAGACACTTCAGTAGAAGACTTTTTATCAGAAACACGTACAAGTGAAGGTTTGCCGTGTATGATTGGAAATCTTGTACACCTGGTTCACTTATCTCTTCAGCATAATGGACTGTTTGCATTACCCGATGTATTTCACAACATGAAGTTACAACGACTAAACCTGAGCTTTAACCGTTTGCGTTTCCTTCCTCCCAATTTCCATAAGTCTAAGCATCTAACTCACTTATACCTGCACAACAACAACATTGATCAACTTGACCAAAACTTTCGGAATTTGAAAACTTTGCGCATTTTGACCCTCCGAAATAATCCCCTTTGGTGTCCTCCCTTGGATGTTGGATCCGATAAAGCTGTTTTCCCAGTGTTTTTCTACTTAAAGCAGCAAAATTTATATGAAGGTAAGCTTTGCAACTAAATATCTACATTTTGTTATATTGTTATCTTATTTTTCTAAAGTTTGTTCTTTCTGACCTTCGGCACGTGCCAAAGCTTATTCATATCCCTACATCTAGACGGATTTTCTTTTCGTCAGCCATGTGCTTTAGAAAGGGTACAAAAGACATTGATTCATTGGCGACTAGAATTTCATAAGAATAGTTTTTCCATAAATTTCTTATACAAAACATAGTTTGACCACGCAAGACGGTTACATACACCTATGCACATTAATTTTTGCTTATTGTGCTAAATTACTGCAACCATGTCTTCGGTTGCCAAAAAGTTGTGGAACTTATTGTAATTATTTACCTTTCAAACACTGAATCTGTGGATATAATCTTGTTGACCGATAATACCTATAACTGTCTGCTTGCCATTTTGTGACTGTCTAACACTATATAATATCTATAAATGTGTGTACATTGACGGATTTGCATGTCTAAGTTGGCTGAAGTCAGTGAGTCTGTGATTTCGGTATCATTTTTGTTAACTGTATATGACTGTGACAATACTGTTAAGGTTATTTTCTATTGTTGTTGTCGCTTATTGCCCTTCCTGTTGTGAAGTATTTTCCTCTTGCTGGTGTTTTCCTGATTTTAAGGGGAGCAACCTACAAGGTCGCTCCTCTGTGTTTTAACGTAACAACCTCCTTCTCAGGCGTGAAGCTAGCAACACCACCCTGTAAACAAAGTTGCTACAGAAACTTCAGCACGATGAATCTCCTTGCGACAAAAGAAAAAGTCTTTATGGGGACATGGGACGTTCACATCATGTACGAGATTGGTAAGGCTGCCCATATTGTAAGCGAGATGAAAAGATACGGAATTCAAGTACTGGGAATATATGAAAGCAGATGGAACGGGAATGGACTCACCAAATTGTCAACTGGAGAGTCAGTGATCTACTCCGTTCACCCAGAAGACAACCATATGCACATAGAGGGCGTGGCTATCATGATGTCACCAACGGCGACGAAGGCCCTAATGCAATGGGAGGCGATCTCGCTCAGGATGTCTTCGGTCAAAGCCGAAAACTATACTGATCTAGACGTACAGAGAATGTTTATACTGTCATTCTATTATTCATCATCTGTTTTGCAAAATACACTCTGAATACCTAAGTAGAATATGGCAGGGGAATCCAGTCACTCCACTTAACAGCCATCATTCTAAAATCCTTGAGGCAAATGTCGCAATTATGTCAGTATATTTAGCAGTAACACTGGAAATTTCACCAGGTAAGTTTATTTTAAACATCAAAAATCATTACTTAACAATTCACTGATACAGTTAAACATCAATGCACATTGGGATACAAAACTCTTTTTTAGCTCGTATCAGAGAATACAAACCTTTTAAAGCCAATGTTTATCGTGACTTCACCTCAACACATTTAAGAAGATTAAATGGTCTTCGTTTCAAAGTTCATAAATGATATGATTATGAGTGATAAATTTTGTTTGAAATGTCATCCAGTAAATGTGACATAACATACTCCCTCTGTGGCGATGCTGCACACATATTAGGAAATAAAGCTCATTTGCTTGCAAGGAATCACGATAGGGATTCTTCTGATTACGATTTTAACGAATATACATCTTACGCAATTCATCCTTACTTAAATCTTATTCTTTATTCAAACTATATTGAGGACTTCCAAGTTTTAATAGAGCTAACACTATAAGCATCTAGAGAAGAATAAATGCCCTCAAACGTTGGTCAATGAAATTTAAAAATTTGCATGGGACTTTTAAATTTCCTTACTGAATTAAAAACTTTGTTTTTCCACTGCGTCATTGTTGTTTATAAAGTCAGATACTTTCTGTGCAATAACATTTGATTACAGTTTCGTATAATTTTGCATCTTAGAAAACATCCCTTTTGATGATACGGGAATGTGTTATATGTATGCCATTGTACAGCTTGAAAATAATACCACTGCAGGGAGTCACTCTTCACTGAATGTGCTTATTGTTTCTTGAACAACAGTCACTTATTTTATTGTTCTTAAGATTGGAGTTATTTAACGGTGTTAGGTGGGTCTTCAGCTTATCAAGCGTATCAGTCAGTTTGTTGAAAAACTTTCAAGTTGCTTTGGCCCTTTGATATTTTTGGATAGTATGAAGTGTAATTCGTGGTTTTTCTAAACATGTTGTCAGGAAATTTCTATGTTAACATTTTCGTAGTGTTACAACTATTGCTTCATAAGTCGAGTAATACAAATCACAACAAATAGTGATCTATTTTATATTTTCATTGTTTTCAGAGTGTTTGTGCATAAAATTTTAACTTAGTTCTTAATTTCAAACTGTTGATATATTTTTAAGCGATTGAGAATTTGGTACACTAGCTTGCTGAGGAAAGAAGTATTTCTCAAGTCTCCAAGGTCTACGAAAATAACTGTATTCTTCGACAGTGCTATAATGCATTTGGTCACATTTCAAAATGGTCTGCATGTAGTTCTGTCTTTTCTATTTTAAAATCTCTGAGACAATTTCTAATTACTTAGTGATATCTTATGAGCTTGATAGACCGTGAGCCTTTAAGTTTTGGTTTCCCCTCTTTATAATTTGTTGGATCAATGAAAATATTTGCAAGAACTGTCAAGCATAACTATCCTTTTCGATTTTTACCGGATAGAGTACCTTACTCGTGCGCCTTGTTACCTAGCCACAAAATGGTTTTAGTGTATTGAAATACTGCATTGAAATTCCCCAAATTGCATTCACTAATGTGTAAGTGTCAATTGAATGTTGATGAGCGTTTTTAAATGGTTGGACGTATTCTTCTGACAAGATCAATTCTGCCCAATATAACTCCAGTTGCTAGATGTATGAAAGAATGTTTACTCAATTTCGAGAATCTCATCTAGTTGAATTTCAATTTAATGACATATCTGTTTCGTTGAAATTGATGTTAAACCTAATCCAGGGTTGCAATAGCCAATAATTTTCACAGCCTGATGAGGCAGTGCTTCCGTATATTATCGTTTGTTTTAGTTCTGGTAAAATCAGTCCATTTGAATTTACGGGTATGATGAACATGAATGTGAATTAAACAATTATTTCTCAAGGAAGTATTATTTGATTCTTTATCGTTTAACTTTTTCATTAATCTACAGCTTATATTTTGAAGTCACTGTGTGAAATAGTGATAAACAATTTGCCGAAAGAAAACACTCATAATTTTCTACGTAAAATTGGATTTTCGGATATATTGATAGAATCCTTGGAAAAACAATTTCCTGGTGGTTATAATCATGTGAAACGTTTAAAAATAGCTATGTCAGCCTGGTCAGGATATCCTTTCGACTCTGACAGTTTGCATTCAAATGAAAGTCTAGCTGAGCCATATCCTATTCAACAAATAAATTCTAGTAAAAATCTTATTCAACCTGATAAAGTTACTGAATCAGATAAAGATTTATCTATTGGATTATTTCAGGAGAAAAAATCTCTTTTCTCAAGTAATAAATTATTTAAAGAATTGCATTTTGATCCACCTCCAAGTCCATATCGTCTTCTAGATATTGTACGCTTGATTGGTTTAGAAGAGTTGCATTCAAAGTTGATGGAATACTATTTGAAAACTCAACAGTTGAGATTTTAAACAATTGAGTCAGTCAACCATTAGTATATGATTGCTATTAGTCACCGTATTCCATTATACCTTCCTTGTTATAAAACATATGAATCCCTTTAAATAAAAACTATCCTTTTTTGTAATTTTATTATTGTTATGCGTTCTGTTAAAAAGACTTTGCAATTTTAAAACAGATGTATGTCATTGGCTAATTTATCCTAGTTTTTATTAATATTTTGTATATTTGATCCAACTATACAAAAAACGTTTATGATCACCACTGTGATTCGAAATTTTCTTTTAAGTAGTTTCTACATATACAGCTTTAATCTAACAAAAAATGTCTTCCATTGAACTATATCAGATATTTGTTACAATCCCCCCATGTTTGATACAGGCGGATAAACTGACAGATATCAGCATGACTTGCAGCACCTTTCAGTCTACCTATTTCATATGGTAATTGCTGACAATCGAACAAACAGTCAAAGGGTTGTAAGATGGCTGTGAAACAAAGGATGAGGAAGAAGGATAACAAGTTTGGAAGTGAGCCATTAAGAAAGCAGCTGAATATGACATAAATTACTAGTTATATCAGATTATTGACACATGTGTATTAATGGAATTTCATCACTGTTAGCTATTCTTACTAAGCAGAGTCATTTTGTCTTATTTAAAAAGCATTATACGCACATTTTTGTTTATTATATGTAAATTTCAATGTTATACTTGCCTAACTGTAGACGTAGACACTTGGAAAAGAAGTTCATTTGATGTTGTTTGCTCTTTAAAACAAAATCAATACTTGATAAACCTATAAAAACAATTCAATGTAATATAAGATAAATTTAGGCAAGTTAATCCCTGTTTAATACGATGAACAGGAGATTTTTATGTTTATTTTTATAAAATAAAATGATTATTTCAATAATTCAATGTGTAAAACTTCATCATCTGATAGTTCACGTGATTTCATCCTTTGTATGAGTACAAAACTTTCAATGGACTCGATAGATAACTCAAGAAGGTATTTTAATTTACAAATTGTACTTTAAATACTTTATTGTATAGAAAGTGCTTGGATATTATCACTGAGATAGTTTGTTTAATTCTCTATTATAACAGATTTTTGAATTTAATTCACACTATCATTATATTTCATATTTTTCTTTGCGAGAAGTGTTCTTCTTTAGATTTTGAATTATTATTATTGTTTCCTTTAGTTCCTAGAGAAACACGGGGCTTCAACTTCACGTCTTCATTGCGTTCGTTTCTTCACCAGCGTTTTCACCTGGCTCCACGTCTACCCACGTGCTTTCAACTCCTCTTCACGTGACCTCCTTCATGTCACCCTCGCACTGACGACCAACTCGCTGCTTACCATTCAAGTTCCACTCAAGGTATGGCCTGTCGTTTGATGTCACTTGATGGTTGATTTTTCCAGAGTATGACCGATCCACCTCCATTTCTTCCTGTATATTTGTTACATAATTGGTTCCTGATTGGTTCACTTCCATAGATCCTTGTTTCTGATCTCTTTTGGCCACCTGATCTTGAGTGTTGAGCGAATCAGCTTTTATTATTTGTTGTCCCACTTAGGCTGACTTCGCAGAAGGCTAAACTGTGATTTTATTGAAATTTACAAGAATTCATTGACCGCCTACTGACATTTGTATAGTCCATAGTTAATTATTTATTGTCTTGATACGTAAATGACTATTTATTCTAATATAAAGGGTAAATAGCGATACTTACTTTTCTAATCTTTCAAGTTCTGAATTATATTCGGTTGGATTTTCAAAGTAATCATCAAATGAGCATAATCAGCCGGAGTAGTGGGATCATACTCATGCGGTCACCGATTTTTGTACTGATTGGATTAAGTGTCTACACAGTATCGTTGTGAGATATTTCTAACCTGATTCAAATATTCAAGTACCTTATATTCTTTTAAATGTTTCATTGAGTTGCACTCTTTAAAACACCCTTAACTTATCAAAACTAGGGATATTATTTGTGGACAATTTAATGTGCCCTCATTACTGACTGATTTCTATTCAAATTAGAAAACATCCAGTTCAGATTGTGTCAGTGGATTGTTTGTTTACACAAGAATAATGCATATCTAACTTAGACTTGTGTTAATCGAAAAGTATGCTAGATAATTAAGCCCCAGGGTGTACTGTGTTTGATATATTTAGTGCGGATGCTAAGTGATGCTTTTTTATATCTTCGAAATCCTCCTTCTTTTCTATCAGTTGCGAATAGGTTTAACCTATAAGGAATTATTAATATGAGACTGAGATTTAGTATTTGTCAGTTAGTTAAGAATAAGGTAGTTTTGAAGTATTCTCACAGTTAAGGGTATACATTTCACTAATGAAGTCCCCAGTATGTTTGGATCTTATCTCAAACTGCCGCAGAGTTTAGAGAATGAAACTGATAATCTTCTGTACAGAATTCTTGGTTGAAAACTTTGCCAAACCTATGTGAGTTACTTTGCTGGATATTGTCACTTCCCATTTCCTATAGTTTGTTCAAAACTTCCCAATTTTTATATAGCAACATGCCAACAAGTTTTGCCAGCTTACCTAAGTTTGAGGAATAAAATAGGCATTTAGCTAGTGTGTATCTATAGCAACCGTCACAGTTGGAAAATTGGTACACACTGGAGTCCTGGATGGCTCATTGATCTTTTGTCTAGGCAGACATACCTACTCTTATTTTATAATCTTCTAATAGGCTACATTTGCGTTGGTGGCACAGAGGTTAGGACGCTGCACCATGCACATGGTCCAGGGTTCGATCCCCCGGCCGACGCACTCCTCCACCTCACTAAGCCACTGATAAAGCTGGCAAAGAGGAAAGGTTGGGCATGAGGCTGACAACCCCATCCAGTAAAAATAATCACTACTGCTAAAGAAACTTCAAGCATCTAGCTTGAGGCTCTATGTTCCACTGGGAAAGTGAAGGAATAAAATACAACGGCTTCCAATCTTCACTGAGTAATTGTCGCATTCCGTGGAAACTTTTTTTCACACCTAGTATAAATAAAACTTTGAAATCACTTGTATAACCTTGGTATTCTTGCATCACCAACTTCTTAAAATGTATGAGGTCTTAAATTGTGTGAACTAAAATGTTAGAATTAAATAAACAAAGAAACCTGAAGCTCAACAGGTATAAACAATTATTATATTCACAATTTCATCAAATCGATATCTTTACCCATTTTTTGTTTAAATTATTTGTCCTTAACAAACATAATAATTTAAATTTATATCAAAATGACAATACGTTTTTTTATTTGTCTAACTGATAGGAATGTTCTACTGACAGAGGTTGTATTCAATTATAGTTGTTTGACTGACTAACCTATTAGTGTAAAGAGCATAGCTAAGAAACTAAGTGAAGCATAGGACAAAAACGTTCGAGTATAGAATAAAGCAGATTTTCGAAACTTGGAGTCAATGAATCTGCGGTAATGTGAATAATTGTAAGCCATTTCATCGTCTACAAAAAGTTGATTATTATTATTATTATCTTAAAGTCCTCAACCAAACAATCTATACCTTCTTGAGTGACTGTTTCTAACAGATTCTAAGTTGAAATACTGAAGAACATCTGTGGTATAGGATACAGTTGATATCAGTTAAACCGTCTATGCATATTAGTATAATAAGCGGCCTGGTCATCCAAATCACGTCTAATACCACAGAATAGCACTAACATGTAATGCTTATTCACTAGTCCTTCACACAGAGAAGACGACACTATCTAAGTGTCTGGCTGGGAATAGTTCAGAAATTGAGAGCCTATTATCCAATTGTAACTAGTGTGGATAAAAGATCCAATTCTACAAGATGTCAGTCAAGGTCTGAATAGCTCAACGTCAAGGTCCCAGACTTCTGTAACAAATGATACAGGTAGAAGAGGAAAAAGGTGATTTTCTCAAGACTATTGACACACATTACTGATAAGGGATAACCAGCATGAAAACGAATCTTAGATGTCTAGCCATCTGGGTTTCAGAATTATTCAAACGTATAAATTCAGGATAAGATAACAGCTTGTAGATTTAGACAAATATTATGAGCAAACGAGAGTCAGATTCACTATGACAAAATATGAAGTGAAAATAGACCGAACTAGCAAGCTGTAGGATGACATAAATTCATATCAAACCTACAAAGTACCAGGCTAACTGACTAAGTTATCTCTTGCTTCTTTATTTTAACTAGAAGATTATTATTATTTATTATTGTTTCCTTTAGTTCCCAGAGGAACATAGGGCTTCAGCCCACATCTCCGTTGTGTTCGGTTCTCTGTCAACGACCAATTCGGCGCTTCCCACCGACGTTCCACTCGAGAGCTTGTCTAGTGATGTCACTTGATGGTCTTCTCAGAGTATGGCCTCCACTTCTTCCTGCATATTTGTTGCACAATCGGTTCCTGCTGGGTTGGTTCGCTCATTGCCAGAGATCCCTGTTGCTGATCTTTTCTGGCCAACCATCTGATCTTGAGTATTGAACGAAGACAGCTGTTGTTGAAGGTCTGCTGTTTGTTTGAGGTGCTCTTTATGGCGCTCCAAATCTCTGATCCATAAAGTAGCACTGACTTCACATTGGAGTTGAGGATTCGGAACTTATTTTCATTTTCATGCTGAATGCTGTTGATCTCCACACAGATTTGAGAGTAATGAAAGCTTGTCTTGCTTTCCTGATCCTTGCTTTGATATCCTCGTCAGTTCCGTCTGTAGTTGAAACGATGATTCCCAGGTAGGTAAAGGAGGTTGTTTATTTCAGATTTCTCCTATTAGAAGATTATGAAATAAATATTTTTGAAAGTGACAGAGCTAACCAGCCCAGTAAGAGATTCGTTTGGTATTTTTCTTCAGAGGAGTAGCCAAAAAACAATCAAAAGGTCATCATCTTGAAAATCAGAGCGTCATAATCAATCGAAACTTAAGTATTCAGTTGTTGAAAGCAGCTTTTCACAAGAAAGCCAAGTAAAACATCTTCCAGACTGTATTCTTCTAACGTATAATAACTAGAAAAAAGGATATGGAGTAGATTAAGTTTCTGACCGGCCATTTAAAAATCAATCCCCTTCATGATCTCTGCGAAAACTGAATTCCAGCAATGGTTTTCAGTTTTTGTATAACTGGAATAGGATTCGATGATGCGCTACCATGGTTATCAGTTAAAACGACATTTGTGTCTATTTTGCTTCGTACAGTTGCATTATTTCATCAAACAGAAATATTATAGCTGAGTGAACTTTGTACCTTTTACATCTGAAAATGTTATTGCAAAATTACTCATTATACGCTGAAAGACTATAGAAGCCTTTTGCAAGACACTGTTTGGTTATGCCCTTCGTAAGCTTCATGAAGCATTAATCAAAAGTATCACCGTACTGCTGAACTAATCGAACGAGTTATTTAAAAAATTATAAATATTGGCTATTTTTTATGAAAACAATTGTATTTAAGATGCAAAATAGCATTGTGACAGACTACTTCGACTGGGATATTGTACTGCTACACAAAAAGCATCTGTATATTACTGTTATTGAAGTCTCACTGATTTTCATAATTCTGGGAATTATGGTATTTTTTATACCGGTTTGATTTGCTTATTACATAAACAGAGATATTTACAAACTGATATTCATTTTGTACCAAATATCACAATTTCAATAACACCCCTCCCCCAAGACTGCTTGAGTTGGAGGTAGCAGCAGTTTTGTGAGGTTAAATTTCATTCCTGTAGAAATTCACATCTCGAAGCCACTGATCGTTGGTAGTTTCTATAGGCATTAATAGGTTATACAGAGCGTCTTTACGTTTAACAACTCTCCTTCTTATCCTATATGGTTCCACTATCCACGATTGTCTCATATGAACTGTGTGTCGTATCTGAAGACGTCAACAACTTTTGGAAGGCTTATTATTATGATGAAGACAATCATGCATATACACATAAACTCACATAGTTCTAGCTCATCCTGCAGACAAGGTGAGAAAAAGATTCAATATTTCGGAATACACTTCTGCTTACTTAAAACAAATAAGTAGCCTCAATTGTTAAACAATACAATCTATTGAGTATTCTAAGCTTCATGACATCGACAAGTCTATCATGATGTTCAGATTACAAATCTTATTATTACTATTTCTTTTACGATAATAAAGTCCATATTTTATTTACATGAAACAACCAGTTCATTCCGAGTCAACAGCGAATTTCAGTGAAGCCAAAAGTTGAAATATTTGGAAAATCCAAACACTTATTCCCCTTCGTGAATATGAATTAAGCAAAAATAGTAGTTTACCATACATTTGTCTTCACATTGTTCCACTGAAGGTAAATGTACATTTGATGTACATCTCAAAAGCAAATTTTTTTTTCAAATTTGTTGAGCATATCCCTCATATTCAGCTTGTTGCCTTCAATATATCTCTTATAAAACATATTCTTCCTGTCAATGGAATGTTCGTAAATAGGAATTTTACATCAAAAGACAACATGTATTTAATCATGAGCTGACATCAGTTAGAGAACCACTGGAAAACCTGGGAGTACTGGACAGCCGTCAGCTCATGATTAAATCCTCCATGCAATCAAACAAAATCCCTACAAAAACCAATACTTGAAAACATGTATTTATTCGAAGCACTTGTATTTTGTATCCATTAGACAAATTCGTAAGTATCATGAATGGAGTGAATTGATAATTGTCCCC